TATATATATATATATCAATCAGATATTGCATTGGATCTGCTCCAGCTGTCCCCAGATTTAGCATTTAGACATCCTTGGAATTCCACTCCTATCATTTTAACACTTGCTGAAACTGCACCCCCGTTCTTAAGTCTAAGTGAACTTGGATCTTGGGGACGTTGGATATATAAATGTAAGTATTGCCTTTTCTTTTCATTTTAGTATGAAAGATAATTTCTCTTTTTATATATTTAATTATTTGGCCAAAAGCAAATTTAATCTTATATTCCTCACAACAACTCTTTATACCCTAAAAGATAGAATTTTTTTGGGTTTCGCCATTTTTCATTCTTTTTACTGATTTGTCCTTTTGAGTTGATTTAGAGTGTGTTTCGAATTACTTTCACAGTGCCTTTTCGCGTCAGGTTGTTTATTATTTCCAGCTTATATTAGAGTATGATGATCTTAAGTTTTAAGATCACTGGCATATCATCATGATGAGAGTATTGTACGTAATAACTTGAAGTAGCGGAGGCAGATGTGTTTTTTAGGGGAGCAAAATATTGCCTAAAAATTAGTGTGTTTGTGTGCACATTGAAAAGTTGAAAAAAAATGAAATTTTTTTTAAAAAATATTATAAACAAAATTTATTAGTTTTTAATGATAAATTAATGGTTGTTGATGAGCTGATATAAGTGTCATTAATTGCAGGACAAAATGAACATATAATGAGTAAAAAAAAAGTACTTAAAAATGTAAAACCAAAACTTATTAGTGAATATTTTGTGAAATAACGATATTGAATATTTTTCATCTTTCATATATATTATCTATATTTTGCTTAACACTCTTTCATTATCAATTAAAAGTAATTTTCAATAATAAAAAATAACTAAAATAATAATAAAACTATTTAAAATAAAATATAATAAAAATAAAAGTTAGAGACTAAACTTCTTACATTTCAAAAGCTTAGAGGGGGCATGGACTCCTTCAGCCCCTTACCTCCACCAATGACTCGAAAGTTAAACTATTAATTTAGTACCCGATTTTTCTGATTTGCACCAAAAATGTCCTTGAATTTTAAAAAAGAACTGAAATTTTCGATCCCAATTGGTATTTTAATTTAGCTAGAAGCCTAGAACCATGCATGATTCTCATGCAGGCAGGTTATATAGTGAATATTTTGTGAAATGACATATTGAATATTTTTTCACCCTTCATATTACCTATATTTTCCTTAACTTTCTCATTTTCTCTTGAAAGTAGTCTCCAATAAGAAAAATAACTCAAATGATAATATAACAATTTAAGATAAAATATAACAAAATAAAATTTAGAGTCCAAGCTTCTTTTTCAAAAGCTTAAGGGAAAACACATTAGCCCCTTTGCCAATGACTTGAAGGTTAAAATACTAATTTAATACGTTCAAATTGGCAAAAATCCTATGTTAAACCTTCAAGTTTATTTTAAATTGTTTATTAAACACTTTAAATTTTAGTGAAATAAATAAACTTCTTGTGAAATTAAAAAATCACTATTTTTTATTCTGAAATTAAAAACAAACTAGTATAATGATACAATCATGTACACAAGATATAAGAACCGACTGAATTGATTATATTTATATTATATTTTTAATGACTAAATCGAAAGGTCTTGAACCGAGTGTTGAAATATTGGATATACCAATCATTTCCCAATAAATTAAAATTTAGAGTCTAAACTTCCTTTTCAAAAGCATAGGGCTCCACCAATTGACTTGAAAGTTAAAATACTAATTTAGTACTTGAGTGTTCAGAGATGCAATAAAAATGTCCTTAAACTTCAAAAAGAACTCAAATTTTTTATACCAATTAGTATTTTAACCTAACTTGAACCATGTATGGTTCTCATGGAGGCGGGTTAGTCCAATTCTCATGTTTTTCTCCTAGAACGAGTGCTTGTATGCTTGATAATTGATCACCTAAATCCTTAACAAACAAGTTTAATCTATAAACAGACATTAATCTTTGTGATATTGATGTCTCTAGGTTGTTCATGTCTCATCTCAATGTCACCACTATCAACATCAAGGACATTTAAGAAAGGTCTATAAAGCTCATTCTACGATAAGGTCCTCAGAAACAATACGTACATTTGCTTCCTACTACAGCTAACTATATAAGGAACTTCATTAATGTTTAAAGTACATAGAAAAAAAATTATGTACATGACAAAGATGCCATATAAATTATAAGAAAAATAATTTGTGTATCTTTTGGTTTAAGACATTCATCAACACACACTAATTCAACCATTAAAATATGAAGTTTTAAGTTTTTTGCATTTAATTCAAATTTAAAAATAATAATTTTTTAATAAATGTGTTGTAGAATCTGTTAAACCATAAAATATATCAATCATTTTCCAAATAATAAATTCACATGTACATGAACAATCTAGCATGTAACATGATCCAATTATCCTTAATTACTTTCTATTTTTGATTTTTCTAGATTTTTTTCCTTGTATGCACCACCATTTGTCTTTCTAATTTTTTAGTTGTTTCTAGAAAGTAACTTGATTGTGAACAAGTCGTTCAATTGCTATGTATATTGACTGTAATTCGTAAGTGAAGCTACACGAGTGAAGGCGTTCCCCATCAAACCAAGAAGTACTCCAGCTGGTGCAGTTGGCATCGTTCAAGATAAGCTAAGGAAATGGATATGTATGTTAATCATTGCTTTCTTTTTTTTTTTTTTTTTTTCAATAGAATCTGAATTAAGTTTATTTTTATTTCCTTTTTAAGTACACTTATGGGCGAAGAGAGTTTATATTATTACACAAGTGTACAAACGGTAATCTAGCACTTACACGATGACATTGATTAAATTTTTAGTTCTTGTACCAGGAGTTAAACTACTTAAAGCAATATTTTTTTTGCTTCACTTGAAAAAGAAAAATACAATTATTTTTTAAATAGTGGAGAATTTGGGGATAGCGAATAGTTAGAAGGCAATATATTATTGAGGAATACATGTAGAATAATTGGTCAAATTATGGTAAAATGGTGCTTTCTTACTAATATGGTCAGGGTTCAAACCTTTATTCTCCTTCTTTACTTTTTCTTCATGAGGGTTTTAACCAGTTGGTCTGTGCCATAAAAGAAAGACAATACTATATTATTTTTGGCAAAGCTAAAAGGAAATCAATTATTGCAGTTGTAAAACTCATTTTTTGATTCAGAGCACTGACTTCTGAATATAACTCATTGCTTGTAGTAACGGTACTATACAAATTTCATCTGGTAAGCGTGACGATTGGACTGCTATGTTGGATTCCTTGTTGGTTTCCTTGTAAGCAAGAATGTCAACTCATTTGCCTTTTGTTTCCCCCCTTCATTTTCGTGCTATATCTTGATTATTATTTGTAGAAAATATTTTTTTTAAAAAAATTCTTGTTACATAACGAACCTATTTGGAATAATGGTTAGAATTTAACAGACAGCTAGTGGGTAAAGAATAGCGGATAACAGTAGCAAAAACTAAGATAGTGGATAATAGATGACATATATATTTGATTGATATAATTGTTTGATTATACAATAATTAGCAGTTGTTGATTAATATCAAATGAACAATAAAGATATATTTAAAAATAATTAAGTGTATTTTTATTTTTTTATTATTAAAATTATTAATTTTGTAAATATAATAAAATAAAAAAATAAAGAAAACCAGTCATAATAATGTAATCACACACTAATTTTTACTTTTAATAAATAAAAAAATTCTATTATTTTTAAATAAAGAAAATAAATTTTTAATCATTTTGTCTAATTAGCAAATTTTGTTTATTAAGCTAATCTATTTTTATGATAAATTAATAAAATAAAAATATAATCATCACTTAATATTATTAAATGCAAAAACCAAAATTCAAACTAATTATATAAGTATTAATTAAAAAGCATGACCAAAAATTAAAAAATTAAAATGGGTAAATTTATCAATAAAATTAAAAAATTCTAATTTGCTAGTGATTTGATACAAAAAAACTACATAAACTAGTTTTTTTATTCCACTAATGGTTTAGACCTTAATCATTATCTATTAGTTCTAAACTACTAAATAAAAATTTTTATCAAACACTTTGTTTTTAATGGTTTCAAAATATATAAATTTATTAAATACTTAACAGTTTAGGTAGAACCACTAACCATTACACCAAAACCACTATACCAAACGGGGTCAATAAGAGGCAATTTTCTTGTATTACTTAATTTACCCCTACTCATTTACTATGTGACTCAAAATCAAGTCTTTTAATTTCTATAGAAAATAAATAATTATTGAGCTGTTTGTGTTATTGGCGTATATATGTTCTTTTTTAATTGCCAAAGCGAATATATATATATGATGATCTGAAGTTGATGGATGTTTGTTTTCTTGTTTTGTTTTATAATTTGAATTGAGTTTACTTTTTGTTCGTGTAATGATTAAAGGCAATTTTCTTTTGTTTTTGCTAATTAAAGATCATAGAAAGACAATCGATTGCCGCAGCTGTGAAACTTTTTCTTTTTGAATCTTAAATATAAATCCTTCATTACAATGGTATTCGCCCTAATGGATCTAGTTTTCTTTTTTACTTCTTTTGATCGGCAGTCAGAATGGAGGGATTAGGCATGCTGGTTGAAGTGTTGTTGTTGTTCAGTGGTAAGGAATGACTTCCACTCAATTAGCCTTTATTTTTTCCCTTTTGTTTTTATGTTATATCTTGATTCTTATTTGCAATTTTTTAAAAATTGAAAAAAATATATTTTTTATTAACATCCAATCCTCTTATATACTGCACCTGAAATCCTTTTATCACGAAATTCAGAACAAAGCTTGGTTGTTTAAGCACAAGAATTAAGCAAAAATATGATCTAATTAAAGTCATCAGCAAATGTATTTGCTCTTGCTTTTGTGTTATAATGTGGATTAAGTTCATTTTTGATTTTGTATAAACTATAAGAAACTTAATCAAATTTGTACTCACCAACTACTTTAAAAACCTTAATTAAGTCAACATGAGAGAGGATAACTTTTGATATTAAAAAAAAAAAAAA